GCCTCCCAGAGAGCTAGGATTACAGGCGTGAGCCACCGCGCCTGGCCGTAACTTGATTTTTTAAAAAAAATATTACTTTGTGTTACTTCCTTTGATATTTACTTTACTTAGCAAATGTATTTTGAATGTCCACCTGAAAAATTTTGTTTCTTTCCCTCTCTCACTCCCTTCTTTCCTTCTCACCTATCTGCCTACCTCCCTGCCTACCTGCCTATCTATCCTAGCAGTACAGTGTTTACCCAATCATTTGGGCAGCAGGGAGAGGCCATGCAGATATAGTGCATCTCTTACTGCAAAATGGCGCTAAAGTCAACTGCTCTGACAAGGTAGGTCAGCACAGTCTTCCCAGGTTCCAGTCCATGTTATGTCCACTCAGTGTGTCAAGTTATAAGCATTTTATGTTTTTGTGTATTAATATATTTTATGTAGATATGTATCTGATAGATAGATCCCTTATGTGTATTATGTACTAAGTGTCCTTCTGATGTTTTTTATGTCACATTCATCATTCTCAAGAAAACAAACAGAGCTAATGGAATCCCTGTCTTCACTGTTTGAAGTTTTCTATTGGAACTCTTGTTCCTACCTTAAGTCCAGTCTGCTTTTCTCTGTATCGTTGTGAGAATGGTCTTTCTAAAATCAAGTTTGGTTATTTCTCTCTCGTGCTTAAAATCCTAAAGAACACTAAAGAACATCTCTGGTGTGGATGAAGATAGGCCTTGCCTTCTCTCTTCCCCCTGCTACCCGTACCCCACAGCTCCTTGCACGCCAGCCCACCACGTGACTCGTAGCACCCTAGTGCGCGTGCTCTTCCACAGCGTGCGATGCCTCTCTTCCTCGTCTGCCTTAGTTGCTTTTCATCTGTCAGCCTCAGCGCATTTACTGTCACCTCTGGAAAGCTCCCTAGAATGTTGTTCTGTTCTTTTTTTTTAAATCTTTAGCACGTTCCTCAAATATTCAATAAGTACCTACCTAGTTATCTTATTGTTCCTTGTTTTTGGAGAGCTTGGATGGCTTTGACTGTTTCAGGATAAAGCCCAAGCTTCTCAGTTTGGCTTCAGCCAACCTTCCCAGGCTCACTTCTTGCCATTCCTTTTCATATATGCTGTGCTTTTAGATACAACAGCTTGTCTAACTTTTGGTGAGCTTAGTTGCTTTATTTATTCTGTTCCCTCTGCTAGAAATGTTATCTTCTCTGTCTAATGAGCTCTGATTTATTTTTCAAGGCTCATTTGAGGTGTTGTCTTCCTTATTAAGTCTCCTTAACCTAGGTGCCCCTTGCTGTGTACTGTCAGTTCTGTCTGTGCATACTTGCATTTGTGTATGTAACCTGTTGCCTCATAATGATTGATTTCTGCAGATTTCTTACCTCTAGAGTGTAAGTTTCATAAAGATAAGGAATGTTCCTTTTTTTTCTTTTTGTACCTCCATTATTTCCATTAGCTGTCTTAGAACTTAACACATCGTTGGGGTAATCATATTCATTTCAGATTAATAACAATGTAGCTAAATACAGAAAAATAGCTATTATTTAAAGATTTTTGTGATTGGAATAGATTCTGTGCATAAATTTCTTTAAGTGAAACAGTATCGCTCAACCTTATGGGGGTGTTGGAAATCATCCTTGTCTTGATCCGGATGGTAGTTATACAGGTGTATATGAAAGTAAAAAATCTTCAAAGTAGTACACTGAAAAGTAGTGTATTTTTTGTACTTTATGCATTTTATGCCTTATTTTAAAATACTGCGTAAAATAACAGCTTAATGAGGAGTATAAGGGAGCCGTTGCAAATATTTATAATGCGGCATTTAGGAATGTTGCATTTTGTACTGTTTGCTACTTCAAGTTGACTGAGGTTTGAGGTGTGTCCAGAATGGCTACAAGTTCTGTCGATGTTTCTGATTTGACAATTTAATATCATGGAGGAACCTTTATTTTGTCCTACTATAGAAAATATTTATATGTAGCTTGGCATTCAAGGCTCTCCAGAATCAGGTATTATGCTACATAACCTGTCATTCTTTAGTGTTTTGAGAACATGTTTAGCACCTACTGTGTGCAGTGCCCTATACCTTTACTTAGCACAGGAGATACAAAAACAAAGAAGTGATCTCTGTTCAGAGAAGCAGGGACGTAAGTGGGACATATAAAATGCGGTCAAGTGACTTCGGAATTTGAGGATGGGAGAATTCACCGATTGCTGAGCAGTCAGTAAAGATTGGATAGAACCGAGACTTAATCTAGACCTTGAAGAAAGGGTAGAGCTTATGTTAGTGAAGAGGAGGAGGGGAGATGAACTGGGCACAGGGGAAATGAGAGCAGAAGCACCGGGGTGTCCTTTGTGTGGTGTGTTGAGCTGGCCTTGAGTGGATTGGTGGGTGGAGCTGGGCCGAGTGGTGAGGAGGGAGCTGAGAGGAGGAAGCCGGGGCACAGGTGAAGCCACCTGCAGGTGGGCCTTGGGCACCCCAGTGAAGAGGTTGGTCCTCTGCCCTGTAGACACAGAAAAGCACTGGGGGATCTAAGCAGTAGATTTGCACAAAGTGGTGTTTTAGAAAAATTAATGTTTGGTAGCACACTATGGGATGGATTGAAGACTAGGAGAATATTTTTATTGTTGACAGAGATAGGGAGATTTCTGTGCGAACTAATTTTTAGAGAAGGGAAATGAAGTTCGTTCGGATGTGTTGACTTTGAAGTGGTGGGGCACCTGTGGTTAGATGTCCCGC